ACAGGAGACCATAGGACTGCCCGATTCAAAATGGCCAAAACCAGTGCATTTCAACTAACTAATGCCTAGGATATTGATCTTTATGTGTTACATTTCATTTTGACAACGTCCAATTTTCCTAGATTCATACTTCATACATTCCATGTTCTGATTTTTAATGAATGTTTACGCTGTCTCTTTCCTTTCTGAATCATGCCCCTTCAGTAAATGAAGGTCCCAAAAGCTTTACTCCATCCACGTCATGAAGGTCAACTCTACTTTGAGGAGGCAGCTCTCCCCAAGTAGTATTCTGAATGCCTTCCTACCTGACGGGCACATCTCCTAGCACTGTATAAGGCAATGCTTCAGGGCTGTTTGTAAAGTTTTCCAGTAATATATATATCAGACAATGTTTCATTGCTATTCATAAGGTTTTCACTGGACAATTTTTTCCAAAGTGGATGGTCCCTTTCTACTTCTCAGTCTATATTAGTCTGGAAGCTCTGCTGAAACCTGTCCATCCTACGGCACCCTCTTGCTGTTGTTGTTGTTAGATGTCGCTGAGTCACCTCCGAGTCATAGCGACCCTATGCACAGCAGAATGAAACACTGCCCAGTCCTGTGTCAGTCTTATGATCCTTGCTATACCTGAGCCCATCGTTGCAGCCACTGTGTCAATCCATCTCGTTGAGGGTCTTTCCTTTCTTCGTTGACCCTCTACTTTACCAAGCATGATATCCTTCACCAGGGAATGGTTCTTCCTGACATCATGACCAAAGTAGGTGAGATGAAGTCTGGCCATTTTGGCTTCCAAGGACCATTCTGGCTGCATTTCCTCCAGGACAGGTCTGTTACTCTTTTCAGCAGTCTATGGTAATCTTAGCATTCTTCTCCAACGCCACAACTCAAAAGCATCAACTCTTCTTCGGTCTTCTTTATTCATTGTCCAGCTCTCATATGTGTAAGAGGTGACTGAAAATACTTATGGCTTGGCTAGGTGCACCTTAGTCTTCAAGGAGACATGTTTGCTCTTCATCATTTGAAAGAGGTCTTTTGCAGCAGATTTGCACAATGCAACACGTCATCTGATGTCTTAACTGCTGCTTCCATTGGTGTTGATCGTAGATTGTCGATGGACACTGGTAGTATTAGAAACACTGGAGGCATAGCCTCCAGCCACAAAGCAACATGCAAGCCAACACAGTACAACAAACTGATAGGTAAGTTTATATGAATTACTTCATATATTGGTGGTGTTGTTATGTGCTGTCGAGTCGGACCCAACTCATAGGGACCCCTCCTTGGGTTTCCAACGCAGTATCACTATGGAAGTAGATTGCCCCATCTTCCTTCCGAGGAGTGGCTGGTGGGTTTGAACCAACCAGCCTTCTGGTTAGCAGTCAAGTGCCTTAGGCACTATGCTACCAGAGGTCCCACTTCATATATTAGACAAGCTAAATTAGTATCAACTGAAACTAGATTGATGTAAATTGTTGTTGTGAGGTGCCGTCTACTTGTCTCTGACTCATAGTGACCCTATGCACAACAGAATGAAACACTGCCCAGTCCTGTGCCAACCTCATGATCCTTGCTATACCCGAGTCCATAGGTGCAGTCACAGTGTCAATCCATCTCATTGAAGGCCATCCCGTTCTTTATCGACGCTCGACTTTATCAAGCATGACACCCTGCTCCAGGGAATGGTTCCTCCTGATAACATGACCAAAGTAAGTGAGATGAAGTCTGGACATTCTTGTCTCCAAGAAGCATTCCACCCATACTTGTTCCGACAGATCTGTTAGTCCTTTTAGCAGTCCATGCTACTCTTAGCATTCTTCTCCAACACCACAACTCAAATGCATCAATTCTTCTTTCGTCTTCTTTATTCACTGTCACGTGCATAAGAGGCAGTTGAAAATAATTCAAAAAATATACACAGGAAAAACGACAAAGAAATCAAATGAGATATTACCACCACCAAAAAAAAAAAAAAAAAAAACAACTAAACCCAACAGAAGGCAGTAATGGCAGGAATAAGCACGAAGTGTGACACACAGATATCACAGAGCAAAATGGCAGAGGCCCTTCCTTAGCAGTAATTACTTAAGTGTAAACAGATTAAACTCTCAAATTAAAAGCAGAGAATGGCAGAATGGCCCCCCCCAAAAAAAATCTAAATAGATGTTGTCTACAAAAGACTCACTTTAAATCCAATGACACAAATAGGTTGAAAGTGATAGCATGGAAAAAGTTATTCCATGCAGATACAAAATGGTGTCACTGGTATGAAAACAGTTTGGCAATTCCTCAAAAAGTTAAATATAAAATTACCGTATGTGCCAGCAATTCCACTCCTAGATATATACCTCAAAAAACCAAAAGCAGAAACTTCACATCAATGTTCACTGCAGTGTTACTCAAATAGCAAAAAAGGTGGAAACAAACCAAGGGTCTATCAACAGATAAACGTACAAACAAAATGTGGTATACACATACAATGAAATATTATTCAGGCATAAAGAGAAATAAGGTTCAGGTACATGCTATAACATCAATAAACCTAGAAAACATGCTAAATGAAGTCTGAAACAAAAGAAATATTATCAGAAGAGCTAAAAGCTCTATAACATTTGCCCAAGCAGGCAGAGGCCAGGCCGAGAGGCTAAGGGCCAGAGAGGTGGGCAAGAGTACACAGCAGAGGGGAGACTGTCCTGATCAAAGATATGTATCCTGAGAGTATTCCTGCAGCTGAATTGTAGCCTGTTACTTGCCTAATAAATCCCATAACCACGAGTACTGTATTTGAGTTTTATGTGGCCATTGCAACAAATTACTGAAGCCAGGAGAGAAGTCGTGAGTGCCGTGGGAAGGGACTGTTCACGTCTGAGTTGGTAAAAAGGTTTGGAGAGTGGTAGAATGTCTGGTCATAGGAATAAGCTTTGGGCTGCCTGATGGTGATTCTGTCTCCTCTTCCTGAGGTTGGAGCAGGTCAGAGGATGCTTTCCCCATGTCCTCTGTGCAGGAGCCTTGGTGGAGCAATGGTTAAATACTCAGCTGCTAACCAAAAGGGTAAGACTAGGTGGTTTGGTTACCATAAAGATTATAGCCCTAGGAAACCAACCCTATGAGGCAGTTTTAGTCTGTCCTGTAGGGTCACTGTGAGTCAGAATTGGCTTTATAGCACAAAATACCACCACCAACATGCACCAAACCATACAGCTCATGAATATAAAGTAACCAAAAACCAGTAACAGAATCTAAGGGAGAAATAGATATAGTCCTACAATATAGTTAGAGACTTCAACATCTCATTTTCAATAATGACTAGAAAAGCTAGATAAAAGATTAATAAGGAAACAGAGAAACTGAACAACCCTATAAAACAACTAGGCCTAATAGACGTATATAGAACATGGCACTCAACAATAGCATATGGAACATTATCCAGGTGCACAGAGAACTTAAAATAAGTGTTAATAAATTTCAAAAGACTGAACTCATGCAAAGAATCTTCTGCGACCATGATGGAATGAGTTAGAATCAACACAGAAGGTAATCTGTATAATTCACAGATACATAGAAATTAAAAAACATATTCTTGAAAGACCTATGGATCAAAGAAGAAATCACAAAGGAAATTAAAAAGTAATTAGGAATGAGTAAAAATGAAAATACAACATACCAAAATGTATGAAATACAGTAAAAGGAGTTCTCAGAGGGAAATTTATAACAGTAAAACATCTACGTTAAAAAAATAAATCAATCTGAAATCAATAATCTAAACTTTACCCTTAAAGGAACTAGAAAAAAAACCAAACTAAATCCAAAGGTAGTAGAAAGACGACAACAATAATAAAGATTCAAATTGAGATAAACAACTTAAAGAATAGAAAAACAAGAAAAAAAATAAATTAAGACCAAAAATTTCTTTGAAAAGATCAACAAATATTGACAAATCTTAGGTTGACTGACATAGTAAAAAAAAGAGAGAAGACATAAATAATTAAAATTAGAAATGTACGTGACAACATTACCATCAACCTTACAGACATAAAAAGGATTATAAAAGAATACTATGAACAACTATGAATTGGATGAAATGGACAAATTCCTATAAATACACAAGAAATACTAGTATTAATTTTGTTCTGTTCACAGCTTTCTCTCCAGTAAATTCTCAAAAGGATTTATAGAAGTGAGGTTCACAAACTAAATGTAGTTCTTTCAAAGTTCTAAATGAAGTAAGAAAAGCAACAAAAAAAGTAATGATTCCTCCAGGGAAACAACCAGTGCTGTAGCATCTCCTTGGATTCCTTTTAATCTATATCTAGGACACCATGACATTGACCATTCTTGCAAACTCACAATCTCAAAAGGTTAACCATATACTACATTCTTAAAAATCCAGCTGTCAGCATTTCTTTACCTTTTTCTCCCCCATGCCTTATCACCCAATCATTTGCTCTTCTCCTACTCTATAATTCAAAAACATCATGTGCCTTCATCTTGATAATGGCAAATGATCTGGCTCACAGCACTAGAAACAAGATAGGCTATTCTTTCATTTAGGTTTTTTAAACAAATAAATAAAAGCAACCAATAACATTAACCAGTGGCATCAGTCCTAACACTCAACACAATCATTTAACTTAACAGGAATAGAATACTGGCAGAGTACAGACCACCAAGAACACAAGTAATCAACAGTCCATTCTAACAAATCGTTCTTCCCAATTAAAAGCTTAGGGAAGAGCAGCCTAAAGCAGAACAGATGGATATTTCAATCTTCATTGACAATGCAGCTTTGGATAGCATCTTAACCTCTATTTTAATTGTATTTGTCATATTTAGCATATCTAAATAAGGCAAATTAGATGAGACTTTGATTTTCTACCAATATGAAATATGTCTCAATCATTTCCTTTAAAAATATATTTTGACTATAAATCCATGCCATAACACTCTCAACACTACAAAGAAGAGAAACAGGAGTTTGTACTTCTTTAATGATTTTCTTTACCTTGTAAGTTGTCATTCGATGCTGAGCAATTGTAGTCAGTTTTTCCAGAAGGCCTCGTAATCGCTCCTGTGTTGCATAGGAGATCAAGTTCACAGCATCAGAGTTAAGTTCCGTAATGTCATGCTTTTTACCTGTGGAAGCAGAGAAAATCCATTACGTGTTTTAGTAGTGGCTGATAATTGAAATAATTAGCACAGCAGGTATTCTGTTCCCCCTGGAAGTCATACCCATTATGAATAAAGGTTTGGAGATTATGATTTTCCTGGTAAAGTCACAACTTCAAAGATCTTAGACATTACATTAATAAAACCTAGCCTGAAGCCTCAGAAAATATAGACATTGTTTCACTTAGCCTCTAGAATCTTTCTCCTTGCAAGGTCATTTATAGGACAAAGTTAATAAGAACACAAATCAAGTCGAGTGTTCAGGGAGGAAAACGGTAACCGCAGAAATTAGCACTATATTCTGTTAATTTTAGTAATTAAAAAAATAGAAAATTACATTTTGCCCTGTTTGACACTGTTAACAATTTATGACATTTATTTCAATGAATTCAGACTGAAACTTAATGCCTTGTCCAGAAGACCTACTTGTACTTCTTTTATCTATCTATATGGTTATTTTGTACTAACTCA